CACCCTGGGGCAGTTTGAACAGGAGGCATACAACTGGTTTACATTAGCCTGAATATGTGGCCACCAAAAGTTCCTCAAAACCAAATGTAGGGTCTTGAAAATGCCAAAGTGACCATTGCCTCACAGACCAGCCAAGGCATAGTACTGTCCTAAAAAATGTAGGAGTTCTTGTTCCTAGGTCCTTTAAATAAGGCAGGACCTCCTACACTCACTCCTGATTATCATCCCATTGATTGAAATACCTGACACTAATTTCTCCTTCAAAAGAACTGATAATCCTAGAGGTTCACATACTTTTGCCACACACAAATATGTAGCTTTGAATCATCTTCCTCAATAAATAAATGAACAAATATAATGTTTTGACTAATTTGACTAATTTGTTTAATTGGGTTTTCTTTATCTAGTTTTAGGATTTGTGTGGAGAACATATCACATATTAAGTCATATTTATGCAGAAATGTTGAAAATTCAATCGGGTTTACAAACTTTTAAGCACCACTGAATTTGTGTTTGTTCTCTGAAATTGCCTCATTTTGTTCTTCTCTGTATTGGACTATTTTTAATTTCAGTCATGGGGTGTGGATGGATGGGTGGATAGATGGACAGACAGACAGTTGGCTGCCCAGAGTTATGTATTTAAGATGGGATGGTCATATAAATTGTATAAATAAATGAATAAATTGTACCCTGCAAGTATGTCATTTGTTCTCTCTCAGACTAGAGGGAAGTGTCAAGTGGAATACTATACAGCTCTCTTCTAGGCCTTGTGCAGTTCAACATATTTATAAATGACAGATACGGAGTTAGAAAATATAGTTATAAATTTGCAGTCAGTACAAAGATAAGAGAATAGTAAATACCTTAGAGGACAGTACAAGATCTTGACAAGCTGGAACAGTGGGCAGAAAGCAACCATATGGATTTCAACAGGAAGAAATATAAAGTCTTACATTTGGGTAGGGAAAATCCCAAATATAGGACTTACAAATAATGGTTGGAGGTGTTCAGTATCTTTAGCATGGAGAACAGAAGGTTTCAGGAAAACATGATAGTTGTCTTGTATCCGAAGATATGCCATGAAAACAACAGGTCAGAATTGTTCAGAGTTGTTCCAAAAAACAGGAACAGAAATAGTGGATTTAAATTATAAAGAAGTAGATTTCGGATGGATATCAAAAAAAAAATCCTAATAGTAATTAGTAATAGTAATCCATTGTATAACAATGGAAGAGATTGCCTTTGGACTCTCTTTGCTGGAAAGGATAATTGTTGGTGGGTTTGAATAGTCTTGATAACCTCTCTGTCACCTCCAGTGACACAAGGGGCAATTATAAGACACACCTCCCATTCTGAGTTTTCCTTGGTTCATGCTTTTCACAATGCATATTCCATTTGCATGTGTCTTTTTTCAATAGTGACCAGATTTCCTTGCAGTTTGGGTCCCTGTCATTGCCTCCAAGACCTACTCTTGAAAGTTCAATATGTCGCAGTAGTTAGAGCTGTATCTTCTGGCTTGGGATCTCATCATCTGGCATCCAGATTTTTCTGCATTTTTGAGCTTTGTTCACATACTGTTTTGGCAACAATACAGACATAATTTGCTTACTTTCAAGTTTGGCTTTGGAGTTTCTTCTAGTTGGGTTGGCTTCTTTTGGGCCTGCAGTGCCCTACCTGACTTCACCCCTTTTAGCTTCAATCCTCTCTTTTGACTTTACCAGCAAGAGCGATCCCAGAAGAAGCTCACACTAGTAGTAATTGTAAATTAAATAAATATTAGGAATTAGCAAGAACATTTGAACAAGAAAGCAGAAAGAAAAAAAATGTTCAACCACTCCAAGGTGCTAAATATAAATATATACAGTGGGGCAAAAAAGTATTTAGTCAGCCACCAATTGTGCAGGTTCTCCCACTTAAAAAGATAAGAGAGGCCTGTAATTTTCATCATAGGTATACCTCAACTATGAGAGACAAAATGA